GGAGTGATCCTACTACTTGGATAGATAATTAAGTACCTGTAGAAGGAGATAGTCCAATTGTTCAAGGAGCATATTAAGTAATTTTAGATGTTGATCCACCAAAACTTGTTAATTTAACAATATTGGGATCATTAATATTTGATGAAAGAAGACCATCAACAAAGTTAGAAGCAGAAAGAATCTGGGTTAGAACAGGAAAACTTTTGGCTGGTAATTCAACTCATCCATTCCCTGGAAAAATAAATATCATATTAAATGGAGAATATGGAGATAATCCATTAGTAATTGATGCTAATTTAGATGTTGGAAATAAGGTTCTTGCAGTTACAAGAGCAATGGAATTATATTCAACTCCACCAGGAACAGTATGGACTAGATTGTCTACTTATGCTGATGCTGGTACAACAACTATTACAGTTGCTGAATGTGCTGGTTGGGCTGTTGGAGATGAAATTGTATTTGGACCTTCAGGCAGTGATCCAGAATAAAGAGAAAAGAAAACTATTGCAGCAATTTCAGGATGTTCCATAACTTTAAATTCAGCTCTTGAATTTGATCATTATGGAGCTCCTTCAGTAACTATTGATAAACCAGGTATTGGACAATTAGATATGAGAGCAGTTGTTGGTCATTTAACTAGAAAAATTAAGATTGAAGGAGGACCCAGTGTTCATGGATTAGGATGCAGAGTTTTAATTTATTAGTTTGAAGAGCCTGAGGCTAATTTAGGATTCCCAAGAAGAGGATATACTGTATTACATGGTGTTGAATTTAATAATTGTGGTTAATTTGATACATAAAGAAGTGGATTAGATTTTAGAAATCTTAATAGTGATATTATTAAGACTCCTAGTGAAGTAGTTGGATGTTCATTCCATGATACAACAGGTATGTTGATGACAATTTAAAATTCATAATACATAACAATAAAGAATAATATATTCTTCACAGGTATAAAGGCTTTGGTGTAAATTAATAACAGTCAATATGTGAAATTCTAGAATAATGCTTTGATTTATGTGAAGAAGAGAGTATTATAAGATGGAGGTATTGCTAATTGGGCTGTATTTGGTAATTTTGTTTACTCAGATGAATTAAGACCAACTTAAATGACAAGAGATATTTTTGATGTATCCGGAAATGTAGGATAAGGATCATAAGATACAGGATTCTTTGTAATGGCTAGTAAATGTTCAGATGCTTATTAATCATCATTCTATAATAATCAATGTTCAGGATCTGTTTTGG